TTTTACGTAAAGTGTTCTTTTTTGCTATAGACTAGGCATAGTTCTTTCTTAAAGTACTATACTTTTTTCTTATTTTATAGAGTTTATTTTCTCTTCTATAGAGTCTTAACCTAGTCTAGATCTATAGAGTCTCTCTAGAATATAGTCTATAGTTATCTTATTCTAACTATTAATAGTATAGAGTAGTCTCTACTCTATTAATATTCTAGGTTTTATTTATATTACTAGTTATTAATTTTTACTACTATTTCTATAGTATTACTTAGGTTTTCTAGTTATTTAGCGTGCGTAATATTGTTCTTAACTAACTTCTTTAACCTTTTATAGAAAAGTTCTACTAGTATAAGGTTATTCTAGTTTAGGTAAGCACTTAGCTACCTAAATATTACTACGTACTAGAATACTAATCTAGTTTACTATAGTCTAAATAGCTTCTCTTAGACTACCTTATACGCGTTAACCTCTCTAAACGTTTCTCTAAGGTGCTTTATAAACCTAGTTTAGCTTTTAAAGATTTTATCTATAGACTATTATGTTCTCTTTATATTACTTTTATTTTCTAGCTAGTCTAATATATAGAGTTTAGCCTATATAAGAGCTTCTTCTTCTATATTTATTATAGCTTCTAGAATCTTATCTTTATTCTATAGAAACGCTGTAGCGTTATATTATAGGTAGAGCTCTATAGCTACTAGAAATATATTAAGGTTTTCTCTTTTACTATTAAAGCGCCTAGATAGAGTAATCTTAGCTTAGGCCTAGCGCTTTACTATAGCTAGCTCTTCTACCTATTAAACGCTTATCTTCTAGAGTGCTATAATAACTTATTAGAGTTCTATAATCTATTTCTCTATAGTTAGCTTCTAGGCCTAGGCTTTTCTAGATTAAGTTCTAACTATTAATATAGTTATTCTACTCTTTAATATTAGGTAGTTATTTTATTATAAGCTATTCTCTTAACTAAGACTAAGGCTTACTTTTATAAGAGAAGGTAAGAGGTATACTTTAGGCTAGAATCTTTAGTAATAAAGAGGTAGAGGTAATAATACTATAAATTATAAGTTATAGTAGTAATTTAATAAATAAAGTAATAACTATAAGAAGCTATAAGAAGTAAGCTTCTTCTAGTTATATATATACGTCTTCTTAGCTAAATTAGGTACTAAGACCTAGCTCTTATAGATTCTCTAGATTAGGTTCTAATTTATAGATTAGGTTCTAATCTCTCTAATCTATCTAATCTACGTTACGTAACTCTAATTATTTCTATAACTCTATATATAATCTCTTATCTCGTAACTCTAGGCTTAGCCTGCTCTTTTCTCCGTTCTAGCTAGTTAGCTCTGTTTCTAATTCTGTAATCGTAACATATAAGCGAACCGCCTACAATTTCTTAGCAAGGAAAATTAACAAAAACTAACTTGTTTTTCTTAAATAACTAAGCGAAACCTTAATATTTTTGTATAGAAATTTAAATATATATTCTCTATAGTATATTATACCTTATAGTAAAGTTATACTAAGATATATTACGTAATTAAAAAGCTATACGTATTTAACTAACTTTTAAGAAAAAATCTAGTTTACTTCTAGTAAGTACTATTATATCTCTATAATAATCTATAAAACTTATAGTATATAGTATCTATAATATAATAAAGGTTTCTAGAAAACTTCTATAGCACTAGCTCTTCTAGGTATAGCGTAGTAAGAGATAGAACTTAGAAAAATAATTTCTTTAGAGTTTTCTCTTCTAACTATATATATATAGTTAATCTAGCTATATAAACTTATTAATTTATAAATTATAGTAGGCTTTAACTATATAGAGCTTATTAACTAATAATATAGTAGCTTTAAGTAGTTATTTAAAAGTAAAGCCTTTTTAGTAGTATAGTATAGAAAGAGAGAAATATACTAAAACTATCTTAAAATTATTACTTCTAAATAGATAGAAGGCTTATAATATATATAGACTTATAATATATAGCTTTATATAGCTAGATTATTTATATATATATATAGTTAGAAAAGAAAACTCTCTAAAGACTTTTTTAAAATTCTATCTCTTATTACGCTATACCTAGAAGAGCTAGCTCTATAAAAGTTTTCTAGAAACCTTTAGTATATTATAGATACTATATACTATAAGTTTTATATATTATTATAGAGATATAATAGTACTTACTAGAAGTAAACTAGATTTTTCTTAAAAGTTAGTTAAATACGTATAGCTTTTTAATTACGTAATATATCTTATTATAACTTTACTATAAGGTATAATATACTATAGAGAATATATATTTAAATTTCTAAAGAAATATATTAAGGTTTCGCTTAGTTATTTAAGAAAAACAAATTAATTTTCGTTAATTTTTATTACTAAGAGAAAGGTAGTTAGCTTACTTAAATAGTTAGTTTACTTATAAAGTACGTTAGTTATTTAAGAAAAGCTTATTAATTTTTTTTAATTTTTCTTACTAAGAAATTATAAGAAGTTTAGTAGTATAGAGCTTTTAGTAGTAAAGTATATTAAGATTTTACTTAATATACTTTATAAATAAATACTCTATATAAATAAACGCTCTATATAAATAAATACTCTATATAAATAAACGCTCTATATAAATAAATACTCTAAAAATACTAAGCTAGAAAAATTAAAAGGTTTTTCTTAAATAACTAAGTAAAACCTTAATATTTTTCTATAAACTTTTAAATATATATAGAACTATACTATATATTTCTTATTACGTAAGCTAAAAGTAAGCCTTTTTCTAAAAGTAGCTATTCTTTAAGTTTAAATCTTAATAGTACTAGTAAACCTTAATAATAATCTATAAAACTTTAATTATATATTATATACTATAGTATAAAGCCTTCTATAAAGTTTAGTAGCATTTAGCTTAGTAGTACTAGAGATATTTACTTAAAGAGTCTCTAATAAGAAGTTTAGAGGTTTCTTCTAGAAATAGATAGATATTACTAAGCTAGACGCTACTAAACCTTATAAAAGGCTTTATACTATACTATATAATATATATTTAAAGTTTTATAGATTATTATAATAGTTTACTAGTTCTTATAAGGTTTAAACTCTAAAAATAGCTACTTTTAGAAAAGACTTATTTTAAGCTTACGTAATAGAAAATATATAGTATAAATTTAATAGTAGATATATATAGTATAGATTAATATATATTTAAATTTTTATAGAAATATATTAAGGTTTTACTTAGTTATTTAAGAAAGACTTATAAATTCTTAGGCTTAGTATTTTTAGAGCGTTTATTTATATAGAGCGTTTATTTATAAAGTACGTTAAACGCTTTATACAAATAAACGCTCTAAAAATACTAAGCTAGAAAAATTAAAAAGTTTTTCTTAAATAACTAAGTAAAATCTTAATATTTTTCTATAAAAATTTAAATATATATAGAACTATACTATATATACCTTCTATTAAATTTATACTATATATTTCTTATTATATAAGCTAGAAGTAAGCTATTTTCTAAAAGTAGCTATTCTTAAACTTTAAATCTTATAAGTACTAGTAAACCTATATAATAAAGAATAAAATTTTAAATATATATTATATAGTATAGTATAAAGTCTTTTATAAGGTTTAGTAGTATCTAACTTAGTAATATCTATCTATTTCTAGAAGAAATCTCTAAACTACTTATTAGAAACTTTTTAAGCTAATATCTCTAGTATTACTAAGCTAAATACTATAAAACTTTATAAAAGACTTTATACTATAGTATATAATATATCTTTAAAGTTTTATAGTTTATTATTAAGGTTTACTAGTACTATTAAGATATAAACTTAAAGAATAGCTACTTTTAAAAAAAGAGTTACTTCTAGCTTACGTAATAGAAAATATATAGTATAAATTTAATAGAAGATATATATAGTATAGTTCTATATATATTAAAATTTTTATAGAAAAATATTAAGGTTTTACTTAGTTATTTAAGAAAAATCTTTTAATTTTTCTAGCTTAGTATTTTTAGAGTATTTATTTATAAAGTATATTAACGTACTTTATAAACAAACGCTCTATATAAATAAACGCTCTAAAAATACTAAGTCTAAGAATTAATAAGTCTTTCTTAAATAACTAAGTAAAATCTTAATATATTTCTATAAAAATTTAAATATATATTAATCTATACTATATATACCTACTATTAAATTTATACTATATATTTTCTATTACGTAAGCTTAAAATAAGTCTTTTCTAAAAGTAGCTATTCTTAGAGTTTAAACCTTATAAGAACTAGTAAACTATTATAATAATCTATAAAACTTTAAATATATATTATATAGTATAGTATAAAGCCTTTTATAAGGTTTAGTAGCGTCTAGCTTAGTAATATCTATCTATTTCTAGAAGAAACCTCTAAACTTCTTATTAGAGACTCTTTAAGTAAATATCTCTAGTACTACTAAGCTAAATACTACTAAACTTTATAGAAAGCTTTATACTATAGTATATAATATATAATTAAAGTTTTATAGATTATTATTAAGGTTTACTAGTACTATTAAGATTTAAACTTAAAGAATAGCTATTTTTAGAAAAAGACTTACTTCTAGCTTACGTAATAAGAAATATATAGTATAGTTCTATATATATTTAAAAGTTTATAGAAAAATATTAAGGTTTCGCTTAGTTATTTAAGAAAAACCTTTTAATTTTTCTAGCTTAGTATTTTTAGAGCGTTTATTTGTGTAGAGCGTTTGTTTATAAAGTATATTATTTATAAAGTACGTTAATTATTTAAGAAAAACACGTTAATTTTTATTAATTTTTCTTGCTAAGAAGTCGTGGGTAGTTTGCTTGTGTAAGCGGTTCGCTTGTAAAGTACGTTATACGCTAAGTAATCGTTTAGTTAGGTTTAGAAGACCTAGGCAAGGCTAGTTCTAACTTGGCGCGTGCGCAGAGTAACTAACCCCGTTAGAGGGCAAGTGACACGACCACGCAACGGCATCCGCTGTCTTAGAGCATCAACTCGCAACCTCTCCCGTATCACTTCTAGAACAAAAAGAAATCTAAAGATTACTGCACTCTGCAACCTATGGACCCGGTCCTAAACCTGTACGGGAAGATCGTTGAAGTTCGGAAACTCCCGATCAAAGAATACGTGGTGAGGGAGCGCAGCTTCACCAAACGCGAGCTTCTACCAGAGCAACTACAAAAAGGACCGGGCGAGAAACTATGGCTATGGAAATGGGGCAAGGAGCGTCTCCTTAACGAAGCCCACGCCTTAAATGTTGTCAGGCAACATACTAGCATTCCAGTGCCAGAGGTCTTGGACTACGGGGTGGATGACATGGGCCGCACTTTCGTCACAATGGAACGAATATACGGCATCACACTCGAAAGCATTGGGAAGGAATGTCGGATGCCGTCATCAGGACGAAAGGCCCATGTTTCTCATGGGGAATGCAAGATCTGCGCCGACACTGCCCACGCGAACACCGACATCTTTATCACCAACCACGTCCTTCCCCAGCTTAGACGGCTCACGTCTGACGTGACCGGGCTAGACGGCTTCGTCCTTCCACCGCCTCGCATCACCGAGACAGTTCCCAGGGCAGCCTGGCAGCCGATAACGTCGGCTAAAAGGGAATTCGTCTTCGTCCATGGGGACCTCGCTCGGCACAACATTATGATCTCGCCTGAGACCCTGGAGGTCACCTGTATCTTCGACTGGGAGCATGCGGGTTACTTTCCGCTTGAGCTGGAGGTAGATGCGTGGCGCATGAATCATAGCGAGTACTTCCAGCTATTTACGTGCCAGGAGAGAATTCAGAGGGAACTAGAGCTGATAGGGGGTAAAGGACGGCTTCCATCTTGTATGAAGGAGGGATTCATGTTACGTTCAGAGTAGTCCCTCATTCAGTTAAACTGCCGGCAGAATGTCAATCTCCTATATCCAAACTGAAAAACTGGCTAGAGAACAGGCATTTATGTAAAATGAGCAGTACAAAGCCCAGCTTTGCAACACAGGAGAGTGAGACTGGTGGATTCAACCGCAGAGCAACCTTGATCAGCGCCTTGGCCGGAAGCCAACACCTTAAAGCCTCCCCTGGCATCCACAGGCACTGTTGCTGCACTTCGCAAAGGCCGCCTTGTTGCAATTCGCATTCTGGCAGAGATAGACAGACGCGTTGTTTATTTGTCCGCAGTGCCAGCATGCTTTCTCCTCGTCAGCCCTGTGCATAGCCACGTCAGTATCAGACAGTCCAGATAAGGCGTCATGATAAGCGCTCACGGATCGCCGAGGTAAGAGTCGTCGCCTTGGTTGAGATAAGTTAGTAAATGCAGTTAGGATGGGGTGTGATGGACGAGCAAAGTGTGCCTTTGCTGACGAAGTTAAGAGGGACTAGGAGGCAGGACGGAGAGGTTGCCTAACCTTTGAAAATGGCATCATAGGGCTCTGGGTGGGTAAGGCCGCTGGCATTAAACGCGTCGCTTGCAACTTCGATTGGGTTTCTAATGGGAAGATCGTCTTCTCGGACCACTTCCGGATGTCCATCGCGGACTAGTACTCACCCCCGGCGGCGCTGTATATGACGTGAGAGAGGCGAGTTTGAAGAATGGGTTGTGGGTGGGATGTGAGGGACAGCATTGGGATCTGGTGGGCTCGTACTAGGGAGAGGTATGCCTTAGGCATTAATCTTGGCAGAGCTAGGTTTGCCAAGCCCTTCGCCTTGGGCGCAAAGACGTGCATCCGTGCCACTTTACTGATCGTAATCTCCGCCATGGACCATTCATTCTGATGCTTACCGACCTCCATCAAAGCAATATTTTCGTCAACAGCGACTGGCACATCACAGCGATAATTGATCTTGAGTGGGCATGTATTCTACCAATAGAGATGCAACATCCACCATATTGGTTGACCGGGACATCGATAGATAGACTCGTTAGAGAAGAATTCGAAGCTTTTAGGAGCGTACATGCAGAGTTCATGGCAGCCTTTGAAAGGGAAGAGCGGTCATTTGGAAAGGACGATATTCTACACTCCCAGATCATGCGCAAGGGCTGGGAAATCGGAAATTTCTGGTACTTCTCTGCGTTAGACTGTCTGAACGGGCTATACAGTCTCTACATGTCACATATTCAGAGGATATTTGCCCCCATCGAAGATTCTGGCCCCACCGGACCGTGTCGGCGTACTGGAGCCCTAAAAGGGCTAAGTTCATTGCCGCCAAACTCAAGGATAAGGAAGCGTATTCCAGTCGACTCCGCGAACCATTTGCGGCTGAATTTAATAGGCTTGAGATGGAGGACGACGCTACTAGTAACAAGGATGATACTGCTACCGAGCAAGGAGATGATACTGCTGCCGAAGAAATGGGATAATACTGCTACTAGTAAAGGAGGTAATACACATCCGTAGAGCATCTATTAATAGTTTATAATATTGGCATTGTCCGCTGGCTTATCTACGCTTCTACCACGCTTGGTCTGTTAGAGCAACTCGGTATCGGAGCATTCGTCTCACCATTTTTAAGGCTTCCAGCAATTGAGATAGGCGGGCTCCACCAGGAAGCCGTAATTATTTTGAGACCCTTCAACCGGTTTTCTCTTGTGCCGTCACAGCCTCAGCCTTTCGCTTAGCCTCAGCCTTCTCCTTGGCTTCTTTCAGCTCCTGATTTTCACGCCTCTTATCCTGAGCAGCCTTTCCAGAACTTGAGAGTTGCTCTTTAGTCGGCTCGTCGCTAAGGGCCAAAGCAAGTGCTCTTTTATCCTCGTTGCTCATAATAGCACTGAAGATCAACTTATAGGCTGACTAGTAAGCGCGAAGAATGTGGGATGGTCTGTGAGAACGTCAGAACGTGCGCAGCAATTTCCATATCATGAATCGTATATACAGCCGTTCCAGTCGTTATAGCGTGACGTTGGAATGGCAATATCCCAGTATACATTAGCTTGGAGCACAGGCAAGTACTCCGAGACTTCCCTAACGTGAACTTAGTCTGATGGTTATTGGAGGGAGACCTGTAATTAGATGGCACGGGGATTTGGAGGTGACGGAAGGTGACGGCGGTATAGCCGAGAGCGACGCAGAGCACCTCTCATGTCCGCCGTCAAACCGCGCCCTACCCCGCCGCTTTGCCCCCGAGGCCGCGTTCCCACGCTCGTGGTGTGCCATTCCCACTACCTGGACGGGGACATAGTCGACTACGATGTAGCCCTCACCATCTGCGGCATCATCTCCAACAACAACTAGAGCACCGACTAGTTCGCTCGCTCGTTCAGACGACAGCAGCAACGTGTGCGAGTGCGAGCGAGGTGCGCCGTTGGTCGCCGCCGATGGCGACATCTTCTACTTTGTCAGCCATTGCACCTGTTAGTCACAGCCACAGTCAATTCGCCGTGGCCGCGCGCTGCTGACAAGTTACTTTCTGTGAATCAACTCTAGGTTATCTTGTGGACATGAGCCAGTCTCGAGGCGATGCGACAAGCCGCTGGTTGAGGTGAAGGCCGCTTTATAGAAAGGGCATGGAAAGTTCTTGCCGAGATGGATATGTGAATTAAGATGCCAAGAGTAAAATAGGCGGCGATGGAAACAAGAACATAACATTTCAAAGGAGTATGACCTAATGTCCCTTCTCAATGACAGTCGCATCATTTTTAACCACAACAATTGGCGGCGTTATAGGCGTCGTCGGCGTCGTAGGCGCAGCAACGCGCGCAACAGCTGCAAACCACGGATCGGGGAAGTACCGGATAACGATAGCCCAGGGAATACACACGACACCAACAACAATAGATATGGCCCATTGAGTTCCGTCAATGCCGCCAGACTTGATCTGGAAAGCACGACCTCCAACGAAAATGATCACGATCTGCAGACCGACGATGAGAGCGACTATGCCAATAAAGTAGGGGTTGCGGTGGACGCCTTCGAACACATTGAGCCTGTTGTCGAGTCGCCGGTTGTTGAAGATGTTGAAGATTTGCATCCAGACGAAGGCGTTGAAGATGATGGTGTCGAGCTCGAGCTGCTTGTTTTGGTCGGAGAGGTCGTAGCCGAGAATGTCGCCACCAGCGAAGTAGAGGATGAAGATGGCGGCGAGCTTGTAGATGTTTTGACCCATGACCTGCTTCCACATCTGCGCATTTCGGTTAGCTAAGAGTAAGGTTATTGCGGAGGGGTGAGAGCTTACGGTTGTGGTGATGAGTGACTTGTCCTTGCCATGTGGAGGCCGGTTGAGTATTTCTTCCGTCGGTGGATCAGTGGCGAGCGCAAGCGCGGCGAAAGTATCCATGATCAGGTTGACCCAGAGTAGCTGTACAGCCTTGAGAACAGGCCGCATGTTAGGATCGTAGACGGCGGTGACAAAGGCCAGAATGACGGCGATGATGTTGACCGTGATTTGGAACTGGTATGATTAGCGCACGTTGATACAGAAGAGTGCCAGCTGCTTACCTGTAGAAACTTCTGAACCGCATCATTCACAGCGCGTCCCCACATGAGTGCAGTGATGATAGATGAGAAGTTGTCATCCATGAGAACAATCGCATAGGCCTCCTTTGCGACCTCAGTGCCCGCAATACCCATCGAAAAGCCAATGTTTGCGGCTTTCAGGGCGGGTGCATCGTTCGTGCCGTCACCCGTCACAGCAACAATATCTCCGAGCGCCTTGAGCCGCACGACAAGGATTCCCTTATCCTCCGGAGACGAGCGCGCGAGAACTTGAAGTCGGGGAAGAATCGCATCCATCTCATCCTCGGACAAACGCCGGAAGTTTGGACCTTCCATAACAACGCCTCCCTCTGTGTAAATGCCGCATTCAGCTGCGATGGTTCAGGCAGTCTCCATGTTATCGCCTGTCACCATGCGCACTCTAACGCCAGCGCCTTGAGCCTTGCGGACAGCAATCGGCACCCCTGGGCGAACGGGATCTTGAATACCGACGACTCCGAAGAACACAAGATCGCGCAGCACAGAGCCCATCTCGACGACGCCGCCCTCGTTCAGTTCGGCATTGGAAGGAGGCCATTGAGGGAAGTCCTGGTATACAAGTCCGATTGTCCTGAGGGATCGCTTCGCGTATTGATCGATTGTATCGCGCAGGGATTGCCGGTGGAATTTGGATAGCGGCTCAGCTTGAAGAGTTTCAAAGTCTGCATGGGACGTGCAGTATCCAAGAAGGATTTCGGAGGCGCCTTTGACGACCAGGCGGTACCTACTAGCCTTGAGCTTGACTACAGCCGCTATGCGCTTCTTTCTAGAGTCGAATGGCATCATATGCACGACATTCGCATTATTGCGGGTTTCAGAGAGAGACACCAGACCAAGGTAGTCCCTTGTGAGTTGTAACAGTGCGGTCTCGGTCTTCGATCCGACGAATACTGGTTTTCCCTCCTCTTCACCTTCAAATGCGGTGGCATTGATGGCTACAGACTGTATGAGGAGTTCCTTCGCTTCGGGGGTGACCTTCGAAGCCCATGCTGAGATCGTCTGGCTTTGGCTTGAAGTCACATCTGTGTCGTTCTGCGCAAAGCTCGTACCTCCGAAAGTACCTGCGACAACCGTCATCTTGTTTGTGGTCTGTACCAAGACGTCAGCGAATACTCGCAACTGCAACATGTTATTAGCGCATGACTTACCGAGGTTCCTGTCTTATCTGAGCAAATCGCCGTGGCGTTGCCCATCGTTTCACAAGCTCGCAGTACTCGCACAAGATTGTTCTCCTTCAGCATCCTCGCTGTCGCAAAAGCCAAGGCAAGGGTCACGGCTAGAGGTAGACCCTCTGGTACTGCGACAACGATGATTGTGACGGCGACGATCAGGATATCCATGAATGCAGAGCCCTTCTCGGTTGGGGTTCGGCTGTCGCTGGATAGACCACCCACAAACCGGAACAAAAGAATGAAGAAAAGAAGTACAGCAGCGGAACTTCCGATCTTTGCGATAGCCATGGCAAGTCTACCAAGCTTTACTTGGAGCGGGGTGGCCTCAAGCTCAGTACGGACCGACATCATAATCTTGCCGAAACTACTGTGAACACCGACGGAGGTAGCCATGAAGGTGCTGACCCCTGTAAACATCAGATTGGATTCAAATGGTCAACATGTATGACTTACCCTCAAGAACCTCCGCGCCGGATATTATAAAGGGGTCGAGGCCTCTCGTAGAATGACCAGACTCCAAGAGCTTCATGACGGCGCTGCCTAGAGTTTTGCGAATCGCATTCGATTCGCCCGTTGCGGAAGACTCGTCGCATTTGACATTGTGACCGTCGATGGACACGCCATCGACAGAGATGATATCTCCAGGTTCAAGGGATATAACATCTCCAACAAGCACATCATGGACGTTGATCATGATAGCTTTCCCTGACCTTTGGACCTTTATCTCCCGATCTTCCTTCTTCGCGTTGAGTCGGACGAATGCTTGCTCTTTTTGCCAGTCATTTAAAGCCGTTCCCAGCACCACAATGACGATGGCGATGCATATGGCAAGGCCCTCAACCCAATCGACCGGAGTCGCGGAACGGAACCGGGTGGATGTTCGGCGCTAAATGTTTCGTAAAGGCCGAGGGCCAAGGAGATAGCAGCGGCGATGGTGAGAACGATGAGGACCGATGTGACTTGCACACGGCTAGGTAGCTAGTCTGTACTGGTCACAATACAACATGTATCATTCTCTAATGTGATCCGAACGTCTTTTCTGATTCTCTTCTCTGAGCCATGCTTCGATCTTTCCCATAGCGATAATGTCATGCTGCTGCGCAGATGTGGTGTAATCCTCATCGATCCAGCCAGGCGTGCCTGCTGAAATAAGTTCTTCGCCAAACTTCTTGCATGACCCAAAGTCAAGTATAATTGGATTATCCTCAGCATCTAGGGCAATGTTGGTAGGATTGAGGTCGTTGTGCGCGAGTCCCAGGGAATGGAGGTGCTTAACACCAGCGCGAATGCCGTCCATACAAACCGCGACATCCAGATCACGCGGGACATTTTGATATCGATATTGCAACATGACATCGTACTTTTCGAGAGCGAGTCCGGTAATACGCCCACGTTTGACGGTACAGCCATGGTATCTAATGATGTTCGGGTGGCGATGTTGATCATGGTTGAGAAATTCGAGGATCTCGGCTTCTTCGAAAAGCATGCGCGGGACGAGTTTCAGCTCGTACTCATTTCCCGCGCACCAGACTTTGGGTCGTTTGATGTAATAGTTCTGCTGCTCGATTTGGTCCGACGCGACGACAGACATCCTTTTGTCGTGAAGCGGGTAGATCTTCTCATCGGGAATCCTTCGCAGCTCGCGTTTAAGAATCTCAACCGTCAAGTCGTACTTTCGGATTCCAGGTACCTCGCCAAACCAGACGGTGTTATCTTTGTCGATGTAGGCAAAGCTTGAGCGGAGGAATTTTCCTGTTTCATACTCCTCGACTTCGCTGAGAGTCGTCAAATCCCTCTTGGAACGAATATCAGGACATGTGGATGAGTGCCGCTCAGGCTCGTCGACAGCCATGTTAAAGTCTGGCATAATTGCTGTGTGCGCTTCCTTGCTGTAGGTGTATAAAGTGCGGGATAGACTGTGCAAAGAGTGAATGTTAACGGCTAGAACAGTATCGCGTTCCTACGGTTGTTGTTCGGCATGATTATGTAACTAGCGTGAGGCTGTGCCATACCCGCTAAGCCAGCCAGTCGGTGGCACCTCTCATTAACAGACCCCATATTGAAACCGCCTTACAGAAACATGCCGCTGCCTGAGCTTCCGATGCGTCTATGCTATCATTGCAAGGCAATAAACAACAAATCGGTCCAAAATTGCACTTCTTGCGGGAGAGTAGCGTTTCAACCTTGCTACGCACCTGCCCACTGAGTGGAGACGGTGCAACATTATACCTTCCAACGACTCCATTTCGTTCTTGCCATCGATTGAAGCTCGGGATCCATGTGTCTTGTCGGGGAATTGACTAGGGCTTGGTTTGAGTTGACGGACGAGACTCTCACTTGTGTAGCTTCATTATTTCCTTCACGCTATGTCTGCTTTGATAGCAATGTCCGTCCCTACTGCATGTGCGCGAGAGATTTATCGGGCAAATTGAGACTTGGCGAGCCTGCTTACGACGGGTATGATTAATCTGCAAATGCAATCCTCTCTTCACGCGATGAACATGACGACCCGCATAATACACGTGGCTTCAATAACCCATGTGGTTCGCATTGCAGCTAAAACTAATACCGCTAGGCCTCAACATGGGCCGTAAGCCTACGCATTCGCTCCTTGTCATTGTAAAGGTCATCGTACTCCTTCCGTGAACGGAACCACATCTGAAGCTCTGGAACGAAGTAACCAGCATGCTCCCAATCGAGAAGTGCGACAGGTTGCAGAGTCTCCCGATGAACCAAAACGTTGTGGTCGATCAGGTCGCCGTGACAGAAGACACGATTCCCCTTATATGACTCGTTCGATACCCACTTCGGTCTCTTGTCGTCCTCCAGGGCCAATGGCGGCGGTATGATTTTGCTCTGAAACCCTGCCGTAGTCGAGCGAAGGGAATTAAGCTGCGGCAGCACCTTGTTCTTAATGAACCATGCGACATTGCTTATTGCTATTTTCCCGCAAGTATAGCATCCCCCCCGTTGTTATGCTTCTGGCCTATTGGCATCCGGCACTGGTTTCCGACAGAGTCGCATGAAATGCCGTCAACCTACGCTGTCTCAAGATATGCCTCCCCTTTCGCGTTCCATCCAGAGGACAGGACCTTGGGCACCGGAATTGTGGTGTTCTTGGAAATGAAGTCGAGCACAGCACTCTCGTTCAAAATGCGTTCAGCGTTAAAGGGCATAAGTTTCCATTCATCCATGTTGGAAGGACGAATTGCGACTTTAATGAAGCTTCCCGGAGTTATGAGGTACTTTCTGGTGCGTGTTTCATACCAGAGGCTCGCTTTGGCTGTAGGATCTTCCATTTATCTCTCGGGACAGCAGGGGGGGGGATAGTAGAATTGTGTGGTGGGAGGCTGGGTCCACCGGCGATGAGGGAGGAGAAACATGTGCGAGGTTCGCATGCATGGGCGTCAGCGGCAAGTACCCGCGGGAGCCGCGCCACCCGCTGGGTGAAACGAGCACAGACCTCGGCACGCTTCAAGCTTGTTTCCGATGCGGCGGGCTAGATGCTGCTTGGCGCTCTTGGCGTTCCTGGTGCCCCGCCGTGGCGCTTCGCCTCGCGCCAAGAAAACCATGCAGCCGCTCCCGCGCCAATCCTCCACACAACCACCGACTCTTCATAACCACCTCAACGCTCCCTTCGTGCCGCTCGACATGCCCGCGCCACTCGAAAAGCTTGATTCCGGCTCCGGAGGACCATCGCGAAAGAAACGACGTCTGCCCTGGGACGTAGACGTACCGGCGAGCTGTTCGTATCCTCGGCCCCTCCCTTCGAAATGCCTGTCGCTAACTTCAGAGCAGCGAAGCGCCAACGACGTATCGAAGCCCTTGACGCACCGCACAGCAGCCAGCCTACAGATAAGAAACCGTTCGTCGAGGATTGGTTGTCCAAGTCCTCGTGGTCGCGGAAACGGAAGCGGTCGGCCAAACAATCCGACAAACAATCCGACGAACAGTCCGACGAACGGCCAAACGAACGGCCGGACATCATGCCTCGCCCTGACCCTCTTCCCTCGCCGCTCGATACTGCTACGACGTCCTCTGGAAGGTCGGCCAAGTCCACCGCAAGCGTGCGCGACCCCGATTATAGACGGTCTTTAGGATACCGCAACATCTACATTGAGAAAAATGACCCGCCTCCCGAGCTCATCCAGCGAGCGCGGAATATCATATCGCTCCGCGGCAGTCGCCCGAGATAGACCATGGCACCATTGCAGGCATAAGGAAGAACATACGAAAGAATCGGGACAAGGGGGAGGAGGATGTCAAAATTCAGATAGCCGCATCTGTTATTCCGGGCTTCAACGCAATCCCCGATGAGAGGCTGGAACGGAGTCCCGGTCAGCTGTGGTATAACTCTGTTCCTATTCCTGATGATCCGGATACCCGTTTGGGACCGGCTCCCCTGCTGCTACCGAAGCCTAAACCCGATCTCGCCTTTGGATACTCTGAGCACGCTTTCAGTCCCTCTGAGCTTCGGACCATCGAGCTTCTAGTACAAAGCCCCCGTGGAAAGAGCTTCGCTTCGCCCGACGGGGTGCTTCTATTTCCGTTCCTCATATTCGAAATCAAATCGCAGGCGAAGGAGGAATCGCTTTATACGGGAACAAACCAAGCCGCTGGTGCTGGCGCCATTGCTATGAATGGCATTCTGAAGTTATGGTCTCGCAGTTTTGGCCTAGATAGTTTCGATTTCAACGAGCCTCGGGTCTTCTCAGTAACTATGGACCAAAGCGTCTTGTCTCTGAACGTCCACTGGATAGGCAATAAACCAGACACCAATCAAATCAGCTACAATCTCGATGAAGTGTCAATATGCCTCCTAAAATATAGAGATAGCATACAAGACCTAAAAGACGCGATCAAGAACATATGCGACCATTTCGCTAATGAACCCCTAAAAGAAATCCATACTGGCCTTGCTGAGTATCGGAAAAAACTCATCGCAAGCAGGGACGCAGAATCTGCGGAGAGGACTCAGGACGGCGTTGAATTCCGTGCGCCACGTGAGCGACCGAGAGGGGACAAAACACCACGACCACCGAGCAAAAAAGCGAAACAGAAGGCAGCCGCCGGCAAGAAAGGACGTGTGGCTCACGAGGTGGAAGAAGAAACATATGGAAGGCGGCAGACGCGGGCGTCGACGCAGAAGGGACAAAAGCAGGTCGATGTCCAAGCCACAGGTGTTCGCACAAGATGGAGGGCCCTCGCCACTGATTAATAATGGAGAAATGGTTTTAAGGACAATTGGCGCTAGCTTTTGATTTGCCGTAACCAGAATAAAGCATCGAGATTTCCTCTCACTCTGGTGAATTGAGAATAAGAGTCAAAATTCTATAATTTCGCTACAATTCAAATGAGGGACTGCAACCATCTTCTATCAGCTTCTAAGAAAAGAGTGTCGGCGGTGAACTACCATGCAAGGGCACCTGTACAGTGGCTGTACAGTTGAAGGCCCTGGGTCGTGGACTCAAGCATACTTTCGCTCCTTAATGAGTTTCTCCACCCTCTTCTCAACCTCCTCCTTCAACTCTTCCAACGCCCCCAAAAGCGGAATACCATATTCTTCACAAACCATCTGCACATTTCCCCTCTTCCAAAATCCCTCCGGGCAACAAACCACCAACTTCCGTCCACTGGCATGCAAGCCCAATTCCAACTGACTAATTGGCGCCTTAGTGCCAGGCTCCAAATAAAGAGCAATCACGTCCGACATGTTGAGGTGGTCCATTTCCCATTTGACTTGCGTATTAAACTGAGGCTGCGAGATGTCTTGCTTCTAGGTGCAGTCATAGTCATCGCGGCGCGGGTTGAGGAGTGTGATAGGCAGATGCGATAACTCCTCACAAAGCTTCGCCTGCCATTTCGTTGCATCATCCATCTCGATACTGCCTGCTAGGAAGACACATGGCCCTTTGAGAACAGGCTAGACCGGCGGCATGCAGACGACAGCGCAGGAGTTGGACGTTTGGTTCTGCATTGTTCAGGTTTCGATGAGGACGTTCGAGATTGTGAGAGATTGGTCAAAGACTTGTTGTATATGGATGCTGACAATGAAAAGGTATGAGATGGTGCTGATATTTGTCTTGAGTGTGGAAGGTAATGTACATATTCCTCTACGTACCCAGGCCTTTTATATTCGATTTCTGCTCCGCGAAAGGCTGACATTCTACGCACTGAATACACCCACATCATCTCCGCATTGACCTCAATCCGCCTCAATTCATGCCCCATGCAGCCCAGCTACTTATTTGGCCCAGGGACCGCCCTAAGTGGTCTTATGCTTTCCATCCATATGGGCTGATTTTGGTACCTACAAGCTCGACAAACCAATGATATGTTACCTTTTCGGAGGCAGCGTCTTCAAATTGCTCTTGCGGCCGAATAAATCTGCCTGGGTTGAGATCATCTGAGCCGTCTCCGCCTCAAATGACGAACCGAAATGATATCCGAGTAGGCATCATCTTCATGCAATGTGGCTAGGGCAGCTAGAGGAGCAGGTTGCATGTTCACTCGCCACATTAACTACAAGGCTGTGTTATAGCTATTGAAATATCATGACATGTTATTGAACAATGTATGGGGATGGCGTGGTGCCTCAGCATTTCTGGTCCTTCTAAAAATACTCCTGTCTTTACCTTTTCCAACACCAGAATCACTTCGTCCAACCCTTGGAAGCACTGTAGAACGATGCCCCTGAAATAATCTGCAGAAGCCGCATAGCTCCTGACTTGACTCTGGAGTTGCCGTTGCGAGATATGGAGCTGACAGACCTGTTCTTCTGCTCACTCTATGCGTTCCGATTCTACAGTGGCTTTTTGCCTCCACTCAAGTAATTCCTGAGAGAGCTTAGCATTTTCTCCGTTGATTTAGTCAATCTTGGAAGAGAAGCTGATTTCTGGACATTGAAGCTATATCTCTTATTAATTTGTGGCGCTCCAGATATGCTATAGTTTCTTACCGATACGAGAGAGTCCGGGCCGTCCCTATTAGGTACTTTTGAGGGTACAGCTTCAAAAGTCACCCCCACCCCTTCACATAATAGTCTATAAACTCCTATCGAGTGCTCGCTTATATTTTTTGAAAATGCACTTGAGAGGAGGTGTTCTTTTTCTGGCAGGATTTTCCAAGTGTACGGATCAGCCGCGTTTGGATGAAGCCGAACCTCTGACGGCTTTATGGGAATACCTAATCTCCCCTCTGAGATATTTTAGTTCCTGTCTTGCAGTAGAACTGCGGGTCTTACGAATATGCCTCGACAGTCTCTCTCGGCACTCGACCGTAAGCCTTCGACGCTCAATATTACTCTGTCATATCGGAGTCATGTTGGCTTGTGACTTACAATGAGGAGTGAATTCAAGAAGCAGGTATACGATAAGAGCTCCTTCCAGCCCGTATCCCATAGGGGGACCATTTTCGGGACTAGATAACTAAAACTGTTCATAGAAGTCTTTATTTAGCTTCAGTCACGTGAACGTGTGATGCCCTAAACGGCGGAGATCTGCTAAATAAAAAATACATTCTAGAGGGGCTCAATTTTGTACCACGACCGGTTCAATAGTATGCTGATAAGGCGTGGAGCCAGAGTTTAAAAACGATCACCTCGCTGACGTAATCAAGTAGGGGTCTAAATTTAGAATCCAGAGTACTAAACTCTGGAGTACTTCGAAGTGTAGTACTACAAACTGGAGTGCTCTTAAAGTTATTGCTGGATTCTGGAGCACTCATCGTTGTAGTACTTAAAACCATCATACTACAAAGCGAAGTGCTCTGGAAATCATCACTACAACTCGAAGTGCTCCCCATTTTAGTACGAAATACCGGAGTACTCGGTTCCTTAGTAGTGCAAAGTAGCGCACTACATAGCCGAGTGCGCTGGAATCTAGTGCTACCGATTGGAGTACTTTAGAATGCGCAATCAGATTTTGAAGCTCTTGGTCTTGCCCGACTTTCTAGGCTCCCTCTTCGGAAGTCACATCTCTTCTCTGGCATGAGCCTCTCTTTGAGCAGGATATACTTCATCTACTGACTTATCGTGTAAATGTTCTCTATCTTTATCCTATAAAATGCTCTCGAGAGGCGTTACTCAACTAGCAAGCCCTCCGCTCGCCTCTATGAGCAACTTCACTCTATCATCAATGAGAAGTGAAGGCAAACCGTGAAATGAGTCAGCATCACGGTACAGTGAGAGAAAGTGGTAGAGAAACAAATGATATGAATTGTCAAACACTCTATATACTCAGCAGTACGTAACAGTGAAACCTCCCTCGATAACCATGCGCTTCACCTTCCTACCGCGAACCGTATCCTCTTCCTCCTGGTCCGCTATTCGCTTCTTGAAGCCACCGTTTCCGCGAGCGCTGCCGCCGAAAGTGATTCGAGAAGGCGCCGGCTTGAAGAGCGTTTCAATAAAAGCCGCTATGTCCCGGGGATGACCCATCCCGTGCGCGTTCCCGAGGGGACGTTTCTCAATAGACTGGACAAAGGGCTCACATAATAACCCAGAATTCGAAGTGTGGATGAAGCTTAGATCTGGCTTGCGGAATTGATGTTGGGAATGGACGAGTGGGCTTGCAGGAGTGGTGACGTCTTCATCGTTCTTCTTTTAGTTTTCTGTATTGTTTTGTCAGTATATAGTCGCCTCACTGTTATGGGAAAGGGGACAACTCACCTAGTTTTGCCATATGGTAAGCAGTGATGCAATATAGCATATAGTTTATCTCAACAGAATTGCGAGTCGGTGCCGCGGCCCACATCGTCTGTAGCATCTCACAGAAGCGTTGGTACTTGATGTGCTTGGACTCATCTCCTGAGTCGCTCTCTTGAACAGGAGCCACCCTCTCCCTCTCCCCCTCCCCCTCCTCCTCCTCCTCCTTCTTATAGTTTTTTCCTTCTTCAAATTCCTCGATAATGATGGCGGTCTCCAGGGAGGCACCGTCCCGTACACCCGCCGTAATCGGTTCGGTCTTCTCGTAGATATTGAATACGGTCTGGCCAGGAATATGTTCCAAATCGTCGCCATCAGCATCGTGATGCTTCTCTTGTTCTGGCCGAACGATACCCTGAGGTTCAAGTTCCTAGATATCAGGAAATTCAACTTCATAGTCAGTGTCGGGCTCGGTTGAGGAATACTCGTCCATCGCCTTGTAAGTAAGTGGACTTTAAACAAGCTCCTCAGCCGCTTCCTTGTCTTCATGGACTGATGTCGACGGCCTTATGGGAAAGGACCTCGTGAGAGGTTGGGAGAACTCCGGGTTGAGGGTGGATGGCATGGTGAGGTTCTGCTGGAATAAAGTTCAGGAGGTATAGCTCATTGTTCGAGGAGTGTTGTGTGAAGATAAAGTTGAGATGGGATTTAGAAGCACTTGTGAGAGCCTGCACGGTAGATATATAATATTTTCCTGAGGCTTTGCATGAGCAACCGTGGCTTGGGTGGACGCTGAGAGCCACGGCATATCAGGGCATAAATCCATCAGTGGCGTAGAGTGCTGCATGAAGTCGCCTGATAGTCACACGGGCAGGTATCAGCGTTACTCCCTTGTCAATATTGCTCCTTCGTAGATCAAACCTTGTCAAGCTGATTCGGCGCGGCTCTCACTCCCGCTCAATAGTTCACTCTCATCAAAGCGGGGCCCACACCTCCGCCCTTCCGGTCCCACAGGAAGACACGATAACTGCCTACTATACCCACGATGTCCGGCCATTCGTGGCATCTGCATGAATGCAAGACAAATCCTGCTGTGGCTTGTCATGTGCGGTGGGCCTATAGCCTCGTCACGTCTATGCGCCTGCATTCACATCTCTATACCCACCAATTACCTCCCAGCGCTCATTCCGTAGGCGCCAGCATGGTATCTGCGCCTCGAAGGATTCTTTGGCCGCTACAATGTCGCTTCAGGATGTTTCAGAGGTGAGGGTTCCGCATGGCGTTGGCGATCCATGGCTCAATTAGGTTGCCATATTCGGGTAGGGATAGACCCATAATCATGAGAACAGCCACTCGAAGTCATGCGGCGCGGCCGAGAAAAGGATGCTTTCCGAAGAGCGAACATATAAATCAAGCAGCTCCGCTGTTCAGTGGCTTGAAAACCTGTCATCACATCATCAGCATCAGCACAATCAGTTCCGCTCCACCCGCTTCTTAGTTCACTCCCCGCCAGTCTCTCAAAGTTTACCTTACCCATTTTCAGATCCTGAAACTTGATAATGGCCTCTCAATCCTCCCCAGTCCACCTTCAAGGAAAGGCGACCGATAGCTCCCGTCTTCGCCGTGACGTGAAGGTCCTCCAAAGACCAAGAAGACCTCGACTACGAGATGCCAGCTATTTCTGACTACGATTCCGAGGACGATTTTAACAATTTTCTCAACGAGGATGATGACGATGACGACGATGACGACGATGACGACGATAACGATGCAACTGACGTCGAGGACGAAGATTTGACGATACAGCGTAGTCCCAGGAAGGCAGGAGCCGATCATGAAGAAGAGAAGGGGCCGCAAACTGAAGCGAGGTTCAATTTCCAGCCTAATCCTTTTTGTTTTCCCATTCAGGAAACCTTGGCCAGTTTTCCTTCTGTTCCGGCAAACCTGGATCGCGTACATGAAACCCACGGCGAATGTAAGTTATAACACCACGATTCATGTGGCTCAGAAGCATGCTTATAATAGAATAGTTAAGGGTTCATTTCTGGGCGCCATCATGGCCATGCTTGACGAAATGGAAGAAAGTTTGGAGCTGAGAACCATTGGGGGTGAGTTACGACGTGGCATTGGATACGGCTTATCTGCAATATACTAATATGAGTACAGGAGGAAGGGCAATCCCCACGAAACACGTTATGGAGTACACTTCGGCTTTCAGAGACTGCGTCAAGCAAAATCTCGTTCAACTATATGTCAAACGTATGTTACGTCACGGGGCTGAGTACGCTTTACAAGCATGCTAACACCAATACAGGTGGCCGAACCCCACCTAGCCTTGACGGCTTGAGATCCAATCACCCTCTTGGACGAATCCTTGTCGCGCCGCCATCCTCCCCCGAGCGGGCATCAGTTCCAAAGCAGGAGACTTCCAATCGTATGCCAATGGACCGGGCGTATGAAGCCCTCCTCATCGCCCAGCTTACGCGCGCGAGAATCAACGGGCCGGGAGAGAACAAGGAGAATTGCTCTTGCCAACGTTGCAAAACGGTCAGTTACCAATGGCTTTGCGTAGCTCTATAGTGTACTAAGGATGTTTTCCTTCCAGCCTATCCTCCCCACCGGTCGTCGTGTTCCTCTGGGAGCACTTTTCCGTAGACCCCAGGTGGAGGAACATCGCGTGAAGAAACAAATCAATGGACTGAACATCGAAGTATCTGTTAACGTGGTCTCCGATTGATCAGCTTGCAAATTCGACCTCTTCACTCAGGTTTGTGGTTTCGATGGTTCCTCAGATTCTGTGCCAAGAACTAACACGTGACTGATACCCCGCCCTGCATAACCTACATCTTCCTCCCTCATCCTACAGTGTTGCCACCTCCTTGGATAAAGTCCGCACAACTTCTCTGATACCTGCTTCCGTACAACGGTCGCAGCAAGAACAAGCTACCAAACTCCCTTCAACCTGCAAAGATGGACACCCCTCCACCATTGTCAGAACTGTTAGCCGGCCCACGCTGGTACCGGCCTGAAGAAGAATTGGCGCTGTGTTCTCAAGCCGCTCTGCGAGGAGACCTCAACGAAGTGTAGAGACTAGCTCACTGGCTCTTATATGAGCTTCGACTGCCGCCGGACGTAACACAGCCGTCGCCGTCGTGGCTGTTCGGCTCGCTTGACGCAGCTATGGAAGCCAAGAATGTCGAAATCATGCGATTCCTTCTCGATCTGAACGTTGTTAAAGGCGATCTCCCGGTCGAGTGTGCTGTGCGTATGCGCTCGTTTGAAGCGCTAGAGGTGTTCCTCGAGTATGGATTGGATATAAATAAACCACTCCGCCGGAACGAACCCCCTGTGTTGTGGTATGCTCTCCAAATCCAACGGACTGTGTACAGTATCGCTGACAGCCTTTTAGTATTGCTATCTATCGCGATGATAGAGAGATGATCGACTGGCTTCTCGACCACGGTGCCGACCCTAACGCACGCTGCGTTTAGGATTACACCCCGACGTCTATAGCTGTATACATCGCCCCTCTCAACACTATAGACTACTTGTTCTCTCGAGGAGCCGATATTCACTGTGGCCAACTCCTCCACCATGCCGCCCATAGGCCAAGGCCAGATGCGCTAGCCGTGGTCCGTCGACTTGTGGAGTTGGGTGCTCCCATCAACGAAATCAAATACGAAAAAGAAGCGAATGTATACTGGGAGCGGGAGCCATTTGGCCTTGGGACACCACTCCACCGCGCCGCGGAGTTTGGGAAGGCTGACGTCGTCGAGTACCTTTTGGAGCACGGGGCCGATCCCTTGAAATTGGATAGCAAAGGGAAAACGCCTCGCTTCTGGGCTGAGGAAAAGAAGCACGCAGAAGCGGCTCGCATTCTCGGGGAAGCGGAAGATCGACGATCAGGCACGCGTCCTCGCCCCACGGAGACTAGTAATTTATAGCTCCCGTAGCATTTGATGATACAGGGGAGCGATCCTTGGGGATGAACTGGTGGTGCAGGCTGGGAGTACCGAACATAGTCTGTTCGGTGTCGATCCTATGTACAGTATCTACATCTAGGAGTTTTGGGATATCCAGTCAAGGTTTCGAGAGGGCCGTTGCTAATCGGCACACCCCAAAATGTTACCTAATTATTTGGATCATTCTGCCTAAGGCATACCTAATCCAGAACCTCATCCACAACCTCTGATTGGCCCCAATTTTTCAAGCGACAAAGTGCAAGCAGCAACAAGCCACACCCTATCAAAATCGCTAAGCTCATCATGTAGGTCTTCCATCTTATCTCGATAGCTGGGCGATTGCTGGATGGTCGATGCTGGCTGCGCAACCAGCCACCGCTCGCACAAGCATGTCCAGCCGAAAGGGTTTGCAAACACGCATAAATCGCGCCCCCAAGGGCTGCGAGGGTCAAACCTCCACCTTCCTACCAGGGATCGGGTGATTCAAGGACGCCTGCGGTCTCACGTAGAGGCGGTCCACAACGGCGGCTGTGAGCCAATAGATCTCCGTAGCTGAATGATATGCCACCCGCTCTGCCATCGCTAGACGTCAGCGAACCGCTCAACGACAGCCGCCGAGAAGTCGGGCCATCGCATCCCAGGTGCCCTACTGCAGCTGTCCGTGCGGGGTAAGGGCCCCGCGAGTTGTGTATAAATACCCCGCGCGATCCCGCGGTCGAAGGATATAGGTCTCTTGCCAAACTCAACGGCTTACTACCCATCGCATCACACTATCCACAGTCTCCAGACAGCAGACAGCCCAAATCTCCTTCTCTGTCAATCCAGACATAACATCATCCTCAACATAGCAGACGTCCTCAACAGCGCGGACATGGCTGCACGCTACAACGGCCTGCCCAGTCTCGTGGATTCCGACTCGGCTTTCGCCAAGCCAGCCTCCCTTAGCCGCGACTCTATCTTGAAGCTCATGGCCCCTATCTTTGCCAAGTGGAATTATAAGCATGGTCTCGCTCTCGTCCATAGGCACTGCGAAATCAAGCCGGAGGAGATCATGCTGGCCACCGGGGATGTCTGCCAGCCGGCGAACGTCTCCAAGGCCGGGGAGTTTTATCCCGAGCGTTGGCTCTCCAACGGAAAGCCATACGAATTCACCACGCGACCTACGGTTCCACCGCTTGCGGAGCTCTTGGCCGAATTCCTGCCACTCGCCAAGGCGGCAGGCCTGGAGGACGTGCTTGGTATCTATCACATCGACGAGGGTAGTAAGCCAGGCGGGGCGGGCGGGTTGTGATTGGGACGCTCGCCGGGGACCAAACAGATGCCTTGTGCGACCTATGCGACGTCGCGCCAAGCCCGATTGGGTCGCCTGCTCGAACGACGGTGCGCCTATTGGCTCGATCGATGCTGCCTCTCACGCGGCGTTCACCGCCAAAGTGCGAGAGCAGAAAAATATCGGTCGGGCGCGCACCTGTCCGATCTTCGACTCTCCCGACCACCACGACCACCAATGGCCACCAAGACCTATCCAGACTTTAGCGACCAAGTGAAGCAGGCTCGATCCCGGTATCAAGAACTCCGCGACCGCACGAATCTCAGCAATGGCGTCATCGACGTGAACCTGCGTAAGCAGGATGGGAGGGAGTTTATGGTTTACTGGTACGAGGACGGCACCGACACCGAGAAAGGCCAATGCGTGCGTATCTGGGACGTCCCCGGCACCCTATCGGGCGACATTCTTCGCCTCCGTCGTAACCTACCGCAGAGGAAGTGCCATTTCGAAATCGACGGCGACACGATCCGCGCTCTGCCCGAGTACCTGGAGCCCCGCGAGCCGATCGACGACTCCGAGGACATCAGCGAGCTCGTCGCCAGCCTTCCACTCGTCGAGGTCGACAAGAAACGGCACTTTGTGAAGAAGGGGACTTATCGAAGCGAGATCCGTAACCTACTCGCATGCCAGGGCGGCGAGTGTCCCGGCCAGCCGCTCTCGCAACACATCATCCAGCTCTTGGGCCGATCGGACAAGGGCGAGCTCGTCTTCGAGAAGATGTCCACTCGCCCCTTCATCCTTCCACAGTTCTCGGACCTGGCCACCTACAAGCGCTGGTTGCTACACCTCCTGGATGCTCTCCAGACCCTCCACTCCCTCGGCATCGTCCACCGTGACATACGTGTCGAAAATGTCGTCTTCTCTCGTGACGGCAAGCGTTTGGTAGTGTGCGATCTCGAGGAGCACTGGGGAGTGCGGAACGCGCCTGAGCTAGTGCCGGAAGTGTTAGATGCCGGCTGGTCTCCCGAGTCTGATGTGTACGATATCGGCCACTTCATTGAATGCATGGTGTATGCGAACGCGCCACTTACCAGACAGGTAGAGTGGCCGGTCCCCGCACCGCTCGATGCAATCGTCGCGGCATGCATGTGCGAGGTGCCCGAAGACCGCCCAACGGTGAAGCAACTGCGCGCCATGGTGGAAGCCATCGAGACGGATGCTGAGTGGTGAAGATGGCTGGTAGTGAAGGGCGCTTTACCATTTTGGACCGCGATTGCGATCGCAACCGCCAGGCTAGATATCGTGGCTAGCACCATAGCTAACTCCTTTTATGCATGGCTTCGCCCTAGAATGAGTTAGAACTCGCGGCCTGTGGTTTCGCCCGCCTGGACAAATTGTAGTTGTGCCACCTCCTTAAGCGTTCGAATTCAGGCTTATCTCTGTCCCGTTCTGCTTGCCCTGGTGCCTCGGCCAATCCAGAATCTTCTCTAGGCCAGAAAACAAGTACGGAGTTCAATTCATGCCGCCAGCCCCGGCCCGTTTCCGCGACTATTCTGTCGCTTGTTGTTAGCCAGTGATGGGCGTAGAAAGCTACCCGTCTTTCATTGCTCTCTCCTTCGCCTCGCCATTGTTGCTCTCGAGGTGCCTCCAAGTCTGCCTAGCTGATATGTGTAAACTTTGTTGCCTAGCATCGACCCCTGAGGCCTGTCGGCCTACGTCATACGTGGTTCCAGATGGAATTTTGCTTCAACGCCACATGTACAGAGCGAATCCACTCAGGTAAGAATGCTTCCTTCCCCAGAGCCTGCTTATCCTGCTAACGACAGCTTTTTCCCCACCTCCGGTGGGTTAGGAAGCTGGAGGAGCATCCTTCACAAGACACTAGACGACAATTTGCCCACCTCTTTCGCGGACTCCGCGCGTGTTTCAACAAGACACGACTTAATATCTCCAGGCATGAGTGGCTTTCTCCTCATTCAGCCAGGATTCTTGGATAGGGGTAGTCTGTGGTGGAGAAAGTGGTTCCGAATCCTTTTGTGGCAGTGCACCGTGTGGCTTGCCTGCTGCGGGTTTCTCGCCTCTGCGACATCGTCCCCAACCTCCCGCCGTCCGTGGCCTCCCGTCTTCTGAGGTCTCTTCGCACCCCGCTATTGTACGACCGACGGTGTACGTTCATCTCTTAGGAGGTGAGGTTCAGGCGCCGACTCATGCCCGTCCGCGAGACAACTATTGCAGTTTTAGTTCTTAGCTTGCTTGTTGTTCCTAGTTCACAGATTAGCGAGGCGATAACAGGAGAATAGGGTTCTACCTAGGGGAGCTTATGCGCAGAGCGGGCATTTTCCTTTCTTCTTAGTACTGCTAAGCAATATTAGTTGTCTGTTTGTACCTCTAGCTAGTTTAAGATCGTTATAATAGCTAGCTGCAGCACTACTATTCTTGCAGTAGTTGTATAATTAATTTTAGAAGGTGTAGTGCTGCTTGCATTCTTTGTAATAGTAGGGGTTGTTAATGTAGGTACACATTTTGCTTAAGATAACATGTGTGTCGAGGGACGGACGTTGGACTAGCAAAGTTAGCCATCTTATCCTACTTTTTGCCTAGGCGCATTGGCTACACCAACGCTGATAACAGGGCGGCTGTGTGATCAGCTGGGGCATTGCATGTGTTGAGTCTGCAGGTTGCTGCATGCGTTGGTGGATGAATACCCCGCTAGTTAACACACATGCTCCAGCTGTTGCTGCGGAGTTGCCTACAGCGGTGCCGCTTGGAACTGCCCTCTTACCATTAAAGCAGCTCTCCACTTGGGGCAGCGGAGTCGCAACAAAGAGCTAGTTGCCGACAGGGTATTGAGTGTCGAGAGGCTGCCGGGATCGGTCTAGTAGCGAATATCATCGTTATGGGCAAAGGATGTCGCGATTCTGGAGAGGAACCTTGTTGTTATTTGTCAGTATATTGCTCGACTGAAGAACTACACTAAGGTCTCGTTAGTGCTCATGCAGAGGCTCTTGTTCCGCCACGGGGACACATGTTCTAGAGTAATTCTATTAGATTTATAGATCTATATTTAATAGATCTAGTAAATCTACTAATATAGAGCTTTATAATACTTAGTAAACCTTAGTTTACAGATCTATTACGAAGTTACGTATATATATTATAGTATAATTTCTCTCTAAGGTCCTAATTACAGTCCTTTGTTAATAGTTCTTCGCCTGGGTTCGAGTTAGGGCTAACTGGCTTGAACATTGCTTTCTTGGGAGATGGATTCGTAACACCGCCCGGTTCTAATAAGCACTGCCGCACCGAACAAGGGCGCTAGGAAAGGCAGGGAACAACTACTCCTACAGAGATCCACACACTTTTATTACGTCGTCCTTCTCCACCGCCCGATAGCCCTTCTCCGGTTTCCCCTTCCCCCACTCCTCCCACATCCAATTCTCGGCATCGTCCCTATCTAGCCACCCCCCGGCACCGGATTCATCGGCGGCCCACTCCTCCCACTTCCACGACCACCGGAATATCGGGTTCCACAAGCGCCCATTCTTGGCCTTTTCGAGGAATACTGAGTTCACGAAGTCGATTAGGCAGACGCGCGGGTCTTCGGGGATCTCCTCAGTCTCGTTCCCGCCGCTGTGTACTGTCCTAGTCTCAACAATAACGTTGCGCGGCGCGAGGTCTTTATGGACCACACGACCGTAGTACATGATGTCGCTGTCAGCCTCGATCAGCTTACGCATAATTACCCGGCGCTGATCCCGCTCGAGCTTAGCTGGGTCAACTTGGTCGAGCGTTTTTCCGCAGACGTGCTCGATGAGAATTATAGACCACTCATCGCCGCTGCCTGTCTTGATCTTTCCGTGGCCGTAGTATTCTGGGGTGATGCCCTGGATAATCTCCGGCTTAGAGCGGAGTCTCTCGTATACTGGCTTCTCCTCCTTAAACGCGTACGCCCCGGTAATTAGTCTTTGGCCAAGGCTGTTTCTGCCGTCGCCAGTTGAGCAGCGCAGCGTGCTTGGGGAGAGCATGTCGTCGTAGATTTTGCAGATGGCCTCGACGTCGCTTGAGCAATCGGTGGACACGACGAAGACGATGGCGCCGTTGAATGAGCCTAGCTTAATCTGCTTGAGAGTAATCTGTTCGAGTTTTGGGATCTTCATGCTCTTGGGCTCCCAGTCTGTAACTTCCAAGACTGAGCCCCTGTAGTATTTAGCTTCAAACATGGCTTTTGCAACCTTGGCTTGCCCCATTGTCGAATTGACTTCCCCCATTGTCGAATTGATCGGTAAGTGGTGGGTTTGAATTGATCTGTGAGTGGTGGGGTTGTAGTAGAAGAACCAGAGGCTTGTATAGTACGAGGTTGTGCGAGTTGTTGAAGTACAAAGTAGAGTGTAGCATTGTGGATTGTAAGAATACATACACTAGCGCTAGCGCGTTACGTAACCCTCAACAGTGAACAATAGTCTTCACTTCTCCTGCCGGGTGCCCTAGCGGCCACTTCTGCCAACACGTGAAGCCATAAGTAGCAGCCCCAACAAGCTTTTGCGAAAGTCCTCCGTCTTGGGTATTGTTATGCGGACGTCGGCATAGTTGTTGATAAACTCCAACAGAACTAGGGTATCGTAGTCGCATAACGAGGAATATCTCAGCTCATGCCGCCTCGCGTATGCCGTGACTTGCTTGAGTATGTACACCATACCCACCGTCCGTTTGACCTCCGTCTTTTTGGGCACCGTCTCTTCGACCTCCGTCGTTTCGAGCACCGTCTCTTTGACCTCCGTCTTTTCGGACACCGTCTCTTTGGAGTCTAACTCTTCGGAGTCTGGGTCTAGCTCTGAATCTTTTGTACCGTTCAGTTGTTTAGAGGCTAGACTGTAGATCTTCTCGGTTTTCAAGTAACCCTGCCGCTTGAACTCGGTGTGCATAAAGGGATCTCCGTTAGAACGCCTCCATGCTAGATCCACTCGCAGGTTGGTACCGACCTGCGCTTCACAAGACGTGGTGATGTCTGGTTCGAAAAGCTCAGCAGCCATTCGCAGGGGGTACACAAGGTAGAGGCCCGCCTGGGAGACCACATCAGCTTCGTTTTGTAGCTCGATGTTTTCGAAGCGGTATGGCTCGGGATTCTCTGTGAGCCTTTGTCGAAGTTCTTTTGCGGAGTCCTCATCTTCGTTGAGCAGCTTTTGGAATCCCTCGTATGCTGTACTCCACTCTTGCCCCAAGTCGTCCGGGTAGACAATGAGTCTAGGGAGCGTCTCTCTCCAAACGGCGTCGGATGAAGGTTGAGTTTGCGTGCCTGATACTGGGTCGCTGATGGGGCGTGGGAGAGGCGTGCTAAGGCACTGGAGAAGAGTGGTTGTAGTTGCGTGTCCTTTGGTTGGTACGGGTCCGCACTTCGGCTCTGGTGCGCCTGGAGAGTCCAGGAGAGAGTCTCCTCTGCTCTTGCCGGTAGCCATCTTCAGTCGCTGCAAGGGACGCTGCTGCATCGCCCCTAACAGCGAGCGGCAAGTCCTCTTTGTATCGCATCGTTATGTCTGCGCGCTGACTGCTTGTCTCTCTGGATGATACGAATGGAGGCTTGAAACGGGCTTCCATGTCTCTGAGCGCGTGGAGATTTTGACTGAGACCTGCGACGCAGATGCGTAGTGTCTCACACAGAGCCTTGGCACATGGTGGATGATTTTCCCGGCCCACAACCAATTCGAACATCACCGCCGCCACCATGAAAGCAATCATTCGCGCCAGAGGGTTTCCTACCCGAAGCCGCTCGTCGAGTTCGCGAACAAGCCGATGATCCAGCACCAGATCGAGGCCCTGGCCGCCGCAGGAGTCACCGACATTGTGCTGGCCGTCAAATTCCACAAGCAGCATGGCGACGAGGGCACAATTGTGGTCACCAAGGTGGAGGAGCCGTCCAAGTACGGTGTCGTGGTGCACAAGCCCAACCACGCCTCCAGGAGAGACCGCATCGTCGAAAAAGCCTGTGGAGTTCGTCGGCAACCGCATTAATGATGCATAGGCACGCGTCGACAGCGTATCGCCACCTAGGTCGTTTTCCGGCGACTCATGCCAGCTCCCCGTGGTTCTCTGTGATACCCTGTTCTCTTCTCTTCATTGTGGTGTCTTTTGAGTCCTTCTGTGCGTCGGCAGAAGCTCTGCTCTGCCGTTAGTCAGCATAACCTCTCTCTATTGGTTGGTGGCTTGAAACGAGACGAATCAATCAATCAATCAAGATTTTTTGGCTGCGGCTAGCTTGCATGCGCTTCCGTCTTTCTCTGTCGCCATTGAGCGCGGCTCCAGCTCTTTTGTATTATGGGCCTTTCGAGCCGCACGAAGAGTGTCGTCTGCTTTTGCGAATGGCCTGGTTGAGATCACCCCTTAATTGCTCCAGTTGGGTAGAGAGCGAATTCTTCTCTCTTTCTAGCTCGGCGCGCTCATCCTGTAGCGCGTCGATACACATCAAGTGGTCCTCCCTCTTGCTCTCTAGTGTTGCCACCTGTTGTCGCAGCTCGGATGCTTGAGCTGAAAGCTCCTCACACCTCTCCTGCTCTCGCCGCAGCGGTTCCTCCACAGTATCGCAACGTAGCTCGAGATCGTGGCAAATCTGCGCTACAGAGCGAATGATGGAATCTCGTTGGTAGTGGCCCTGGCTTTCCAGCTCAGAATTCAGGCGACATCTCCAATCCTGTAGATGCTGTCCTGATAGTGGCGTACACTCCTGTTGGAAGAGCGACACGGTTCGAGACGGGGCCGAGAATGGCGGGTGAGAACATGGTGTCCCGTTAGACGAGAGCTGCCGTTGTTTGCTGATCAAGGCGATTACGACGGATTGGGAAAGGCCGGGTTCTCCTGATGGCGACGCGATCGACGAGGTCAAAAGCATCGAAATAGTTGCTGAGACAAAGCGTCGAAGCAGCAGCGCGTGGAAAGAATGGCAAGAGTGTTCTTGGTCCTCTTCACGGCCCTCGACATTAACGCGTAGAAAGTTCTGAACTGATTCTTCCAGCTCGCTCGATGACAGTGAGGCTACTACGCAAGACCCCAAATGAGCGCTGCTTGGAATAATCGCGCAGAGCTCCTCGACCAAAATGGTAATGTTGGACATCTCCTGCGGTGAGCCGGGAGAGGCACCTAACCTCAGGATCGCGGAAAGGAGAGCACAGATGGCGGTTTCTTGCATTTGGGGCTGTTTCTATCTGAGTACAGGCATTTAGACTTCTTCTTAGAGACTTACAGCGAACATAGGTAAGGATACCGATAAGCTCTCTCGTAGGCAATCTGGATCGGGGAAGCGTGTCACTTCCATCAATGTGGCCTGGTATTGCATGACCATCTCCGGTGAGAGGTTATGCTTCCCGGCGACCAGACTGTAAACACACAGTGCTTCCAGCTGGACGGCCAGATTGACGCCTCGGCGCTGGATCTTGGAGGGAAGCTTCGGAAACATACGCTTCGCAAGATCAGAGGAGTTTGGCCACCCTTCTCGCACTTGAGGGTCTACAAGCTGCAGAGTACGGATTGCGATTCTGATTCCTTCCGCTGCTTCGGAATCGGACACACCCATTTCGCCTTTGACTGCCCAAATCACGCTCAGATAAGTTAGGTTGACCGTCTTCAGCATCAGGTCTGCTGAGCCGAACACCTTTCGTCCCGCCGCGGTCTTCCACTCTCGCATTGTGTCGACACTAGGAATCGCGCTGTCGAGGCTTGCCGCTGCATCGAGTTCTTTGCTTGTGATCCATGGACGCTCGGCAAGCATAACTATGCCAAAGCAAAGCAAGCCCATGGTATTCTGGAACGCGCCATTGGAAGAGAGTATTTCGGTCAACCTCCTGTCAAGCGTGTGGCTAGCCTCAGGGGGAACAAGGCTGAGAAGGCCTCTGCAAGCTCCATCTAGCATGTAATAGATGGGCCTCAGCATTTCTACATCCGGAGTGTGCGTTGCTCGCTCGAACAGTTGAAGGAAGAAGGACTGGGCACTGGCAGGCAGAGGCACCTGCTCAGGCAGAGGGCGCGAGAGAAGGGTCACACATAGGTCGACGTGCTGGGTCAACGTCAGCCTGGGGAAGCAATTGAGCAGCCTTAAGTCGCTCAGTGGCTATGCTGCGGCACTGTGACCACGACACAGTCATCGATTCGGCAGAGCTCACCTCCTCAAAATCGCTCTGGGAGGAGTTTGCCTTGGTGAGCAAGGCGTCGAGGAGTCCAGGAGTCTGACGTAGAAGCTCGTCCCTGAATTCCGGTGAGTGACCTGTCAGCGTTTGATTAGCTGACCTAATGCCGACTTCCGACTTCGGGAAGGGTAAGCGATCCTACAGAGAGAGTGCAGGATGGCCAGCGTGTGCTGCCAGTGCGGGAGGGCTGATGACACGATGGACGCCAATTTCGCGATGGCGCAAGGCGCACGATCCCGGATGCATGCCCGACAAGTGAGCGCGTCGGCACGGGACAGGATGTCGGCCAATTTCTGCGGGCGTGCTCGTGTCAGCATCGATGATATGCATACGAGTCGGATCATGTGCTTCGGCGCTGCGAAAACGCGGCGGGGGCAGGTCGCGGGCGGCTGCGTCAACATCTGGACATCTGGGGAAGTGCGGAGAAGCTACTCACGGCGAGCGACACGGGATACGGGCACGCGATTATCCTCGCGAGCTCGTGCGACAGCGCTGCTGCGACGTCGGCCATGGTGTCGCGATAGAGTTCGAGCTAGGGCGGGCGGTCTGGATGTGTTTGATGAAGGCTGCCAGCTGCTGCATCGGCGTTTGTTTTTCGATGCGGGCCCTGGCGGTAGCTGGCGGTAACCCGGGGTGACGCCCCTTCCGCTTTGGGACGCCAAAGCCAATGTCGCACGACGGCGACCGCTGTGCCTGGCAGCATTTTTACGTGCTGCAGCAGGCGTCGGCCAATGCCTCCTCCCTCGACTCGACGACGACGCGCCCTGCTGCTTCTCCGCGAGAGGGCCAGCGCGAGGAGTCGCATTCTCCGCGAGCATCGGCCTCCCCCCTCCCGATTGGCGGACCCGCGATCGCAGCGCTTTGCTTTTGGCCGCTCGTTCATTCCGCACGCAGATGCCAGCAGGCCGACCCTCATGGCTCATGCCCCCGGCAGCGACATTTTTCACACCGTCTCCGACGCCCACATGGCGCTGACTGCCGCTGCGTGGCCGTCTGGATGCGGCATTTGCCTCACCGCGTCAGTGCCCAACCCGCCCGCTGAACGCCGCTGGCTGGGGAGGATGGACGAGAAGAGTGGGATGACATGGCAAAGCCTCGAGCGTCCCCCCACTCGCGCAGGGCCGCAGTCCAGCGCTTGCGCCTGCACGAACAGGGAGCGAAGATTTGTGAGGGTAATCTGTACCACTGGCGGCCAATTGTGGTCGGCGAGCCTGCCCTCGGATGCTCACCGCCCTCCGGCGCCTGTGTGCGCGGAGGAGCGCGGTCTGGCGTCGTCGAGAGCCTCAAAGCCATGGACAATGCCCTGGCAGCAGCGCCTCTCGCTCAGATGCGGCCGAAAAAGGAAACATGGTGCAGAGTCGCAGCGGCGCGGGAAAAGGCACAGATCCAACACCCACTGCTCTGGTCCCTCGCCTGCGAGCGTTGGGGTCGCACACGGCGCCTCCTCCCCAAGGCCGTCACGCGACAGAGCCCGCATGTCATCCATCGTCACATCTTGCCACGGCCGCAGCCGCAATGCTCTGACAAAGGCACCCGCTGGGACTCGCCGTGTCTTCCCCGCAATTGCTTTTGCTTCTTCACGCCCCCCTGCAGCTGATCATGCAGCCCGCTTCCTTGCCAAATGTTGCGTGAGCCGAAAATTTTAGCACTGGAAACGGTCTCAGGTCAGCCTGCTGCTCTGCTACTGGTCCAGCGCGCCATGTCCTGACGAGTAGAGAAAACGTTATTGCCTGTGCGCTGGCCTGCTGTAGCAAGCGACGCCCTGGGAAGACTGCCGCGCCAACTGCGTTTAGACACAAATAGTTCCGCTCCCCGCTCCCACTATGCCATCTAGCTACTTATACTGCAAAATGCGTAGCGGGGCCTGCCGTCGTGCTGCTATCCCTCCTCGTTGTTCTTTGGGCCCGCCTCCGCGGCAAGACTGATGGCCGTCACGAGTGCCTACCACAGTTCTGCGCCGTCCGACATCATAAAAGCGACCGACGGCTCCCATCCCACGCACGCTCGAACAACTCACCATGTTTCGCCGTCCCGCGGCGCGGCTTAGGCAGCTGGCCGCGCCGTTTCTGAAGCGGGGTGCCCTTCGAACGCAGACGAGCGGAGCCGAGCAAGCCTTCAGACCGAATGCCGTGCCGAAGCCGTTCTGGAGCTCGAGCCGAGTGCTGCTTTTTACCGCTCTGACCGGAACCACGACTTATTTCTTCGGCCTCAACGATGACACTCCCCGCTTCCAGCTGCCCTGGCGCGGCTCCGCAAGGCCCCGCTATGCCTCCAAGCACGAGATGGAAAAGGCATGTTGCGAAGGAGCAAAGAACACGCGCAGGGTCCTGCTTGCTAATCATCTGTGCAGGCCATCCAGGAGCTGAGGTTTGCTCTGGGCGACGATGCCATTAGCACCGACGATGACGACCTTCTCATGCACGGATACTCGGAATGGTCCTCCATCAACATTGACCAGCTGCCGGTCGCGGTGGCGTATCCGAAATGTACGGACGAGGTGTCTCAGATCGCCAAAATCTGCCACAAATACAAGGTGCCTATGAGTACGGATCCCCGCCTGTAGTTCGCTGAAGGCGGCCGATGCTGATTTCCGCAAGTCCCCTACTCTGGCGGATCGAGTCTAGAGGCCAATTTTTCTGCGCCCTACGGCGGTATGAGCATCGACTTCTCCTTCATGGACAGCATCATATCCTTGCATGCGGACGAGTAAGCGAGAACCATACTGTTGGGTCCTGACGTTTCCAAGGCTGACGTGTAGGTGCCAGTATGGACGTCGTTGTTCAGCCTTCTGTGCCGTGGATGAGTCTGAACGAGGAAATCAAGGATTCAGGACTCTTCTTCCCCGTGGACCCTGGCCCGTCAGTAAGTGCTGCCCGACGTGGATCTCTTCTCCACCATCCAGCGCGGGCTTGGCACACGTGCTGACCAACGCGATAGGCTAGAATCGGCGGCATGGTTGGAACCAGCTGCAGGCGAGTGCATACATCTGAAAAATTTTTCGAGCTCACGAGCTGACGAGCGGGCAGTGGAACGAACGCCGTTCGCTATGGCACAATGAAAGATTGGGTTATTAATCTTACTGTCGTCCTTGCTGATGGCACTATCATCAAGACAAGGCGGCGGCCTCGGTACGTGCGTGTTTTATCATCTTTGCCGCGCCTTCTAACTGTGAGCAGCAAGTCGTCCGCTGGCTATAATTTGACGAACCTCTTCGTTGGCTCTGAAGGCACACTTGGCTTGGTCACTGAGATCACGCTGAAGTTGACTGTGATACCGCAAGACACTAGCGTTGCTGTTGTGACCTTTCCCACGATACGCGATGCTGCGGCTGCTGCATCGAGGGTGATGCGCGCAGGGATCCCCGTGGCAGCCATGGAAATCATGGATGAGGTGCAGATGGCCGTAATCAACAAGGCTGGCTCCACAGCCAAGAAATGGAAAGAAGTGCCTACCATGTTTTTCAAGTGAGTAATTGCTGATGAACCTGGACCAATAGGGACCACAAAAGCTAATAGCCGGGGATAGGTTTTCTGGAACCAAGGCAGGGGTGAGCAGCCCCTGGAGCGTGCTATTACCAGAATGGAACTGACTGCATGAAAGGTCCAGGAAAATGTTAGGCTCGTCAAGGCCATAGCCAGAGGGCACAAAAGCGGCGATTTTGAGTTTGCCGTCGATGCCGAAGAGCAGAAGATGCTGTGGTCGGCCCGAAAAGAGTCTCTTTGGAGCATGCTTGCTCTGCGCAAAGAAGGCGACGAAGTCTGGTCCACAGACGTCGCAGTGCCGCTCTCGAGGCTTCCTGACATCATAGGTGCACTCACCCTTCGCTTCTCGTCCTCATCGTCATGCTAATGTAATAGCAGAGGTATCTAAGAAGGAGATGGACGACCTTGGTCTCTTCGCCAGCATCCTGGGACACATCGGAGACGGCAACTTCCATGAAAGCATCATGTACAACAGCAAGGACCCCAAAGAGCGAGCGGCGGTTGAGAAATGTATCAAGGACATGGTCGATCGTGCCCTAGAGATGGAAGGCACATGCACTGGCGAACATGGTGTCGGGCTGGGCAAGAAAGACTCGCTCATGAAGGAGCTCGGGCTCGACACCATCAACGTCATGAAGAACATCAAGGGCGCTTTAGATCCGCATTGGCTTATGAACCCGGGGAAGATCATGGACCTTCCGTCGTAGCATTCTGGTGGCCGCTTGTGGCCTTCTTTATCTTCGTACCTTCTGGTCCAAAACTCTGCATAGGGAGGCCTTCTGTCACTTCGGACTGCATTGTGTAGCGCATTTCGATAGACCTGGCATTTTTGCTCGTTCAACGCATACGTTTCCCTATCGGCTTTCGCAGTTGCTGTCTGATGCCGAATGTCGGCATTGTCGCGCGACGGTAATGATTGATGATTATATAACAAGTGCTGGTGCCAGTCGGAGAGGCGACGGCGCTCCGCGATCGGTGTTGAGCAGTTTTGCTTTTTCCGCCCTCTCACCCCACTAAGCACCCCACCTCGTCATTGCACATCGCACACAAAAAGATCCCATTGACTCAGAGCTCCCATGTCTGAGCCAGCAATCATGGACGCTGAACACTTCACGTCCCACAATAGGAACTTTCCAAAGAAGAAGTGCGGTGCGTAGTGTTCGAGCGTCAACTGGGATTTTTTTGACGAGAAATGCAGGCGTGCTCGGTGCGACGGGCTCCGTCGGCCAGCGCTTCATCCTCCTGCTCCAGCTCCACCCGCACTTCGTCCTCCACGCCGTGGGCGCGTCTGAACGTTCAGCTGGCAAGAAATACAGGGATGCGGTGCAATGGAAGCAGGCTCTCCCACACTCAGAGCGCATTGGCGATCTCGTGGTGAAGAAATGCGTTCCGGAGGAGTTCCAGGACTGCGATCTGGTTTTCTCGGGCCTAGACAGCAGCGTAGCCGGAGATGTTGGTATGCTTCTTTCGCTTTGCGATTGAGCAGGCAGCTGATCCCAGGACAGAGATGGCTTTCCTGAAGGCGAACCTCGCAGTCTTCTCCAACGCGAAGAACTACCGCCGAGACCCGCTCGTTCCGCTCGTCGTCCCTACGGTCAACCTCTCCCATCTCGACGTCATCCCGCACCAGAGGAAGCGCCATGGCTTGCACAAAGGCTTCTTGGTCTGCAACTCGAACTGCGCGGTCATCGGCATTGTCATTCCATTCGCCGCTCTCCAAGCCAGGTTCGGCCCTGTAGATCAAGTCTCGGTCGTCACAATGCAGGCAGTCTCCGGCGCAGGCTACCCCGGAGTTAGTAGCATGGACATCATCGACAACGTGGTGCCCTTCATATCAGGCGAGGAAGACAAACTGGAGACGGAGGCACAGAAGATCCTAGGCAGCGTCAATGGCGAGGTCTCGGGATTCGTGGATCAGCCCATGAGGGTGTCTGCGGCATGCAATCGGGTCTCTGTTCTCGACGGGCACACAGCCTGCGTCTCGCTGCGCTTCGAGCGACGACCTCCACCGAGCGCCGAGGAAGTCAAGCAGGCAATGAGGGAGTACGTTTCAGATGTCCAAAAGCTGGGGTGCCCATCTGCTCCCGAGAAAGCTATCGTGGTGATGGATGCGCCAGACCGCCCGCAACCCAGGTTGGACCGAGAGACAGATAGGGGCTATGCGGTCAGCGTAGGACGTATCAGGGAAGACGAGGCCGGCATCTTTGACATCAAGTTTGTCGCGCTCAGTCATAACAGTAAGTACTACTGCATCATGAGAGCGCTTGGCGTGCTAACTGGTTATAGCGGTCATTGGAGCGGCCGGCTCGTCGATATTGAATGCGGAGGCGGCGGTGCTGAAGGGTTTCGCATAAGAATTGCATTTTGCTTGCGAAGATAAAAGTACACTTTTAGCCACTATATGATACCTATAGCTCGAAAAATTTCATGATCACTTCGAATATTGGCGTTCAGCTTAGCCAACGCATCGTCTTCAATCGCGACTATGAGTTGGGGAGGGATAAATGGAGGCTGAGATATGCGTATGTTTCTTCCTCGTCTGCCCTTTGGCCCACCTGCTAACCGAACCCCAGCGCATACTCTCGACCCTGTTGTCTCCGAAACGGGTTATTCTTGGGGTTAGCAACGGACTCGGCGACAATTCGTGCGGGAACTGTTATATGCAGTAGACAATTTCTCCAGCTAAGGAAGCCCCGTCGACGGCAGATTTAAACCTCCTTGATTTCATACACGGCGACAGATACACAGCCTCAACTTCTACCAACTCCTGTCTCAGTCCTATCGTCGCCGGTTAACCGAGCACTTCACGGCGGCTCTACGCAAGGCCAAATAGAAGGCTGGACGTCACTAAATTTCCGCGCTTCAGCCCTCTTTCTTGCTCAGAATGCGTGGAGCCGTCGTTGCAGATTTCACGCATTCCATACCGAGCTTGCGCATCTCAGATACGGACGTTTGTCCCCAACGTGGTACGCCAAGGGCTTTGTCGCAAAATCCCCCTCCTTGTCCTTTTCCAATCGTCTGGGCGAACTACCCTTGGAAGGATGTTGCCTTCGAGACAACAGGCCGCTTTATCTTCGGGGCGGGTCAGCCAAACATTGAACCGGAAGCCGCCTAGTTGCGCATGACATTGTGCAGGTCGGCGTGTAGAACTTAAAGAGCGTGAATACGGCGGGCGGGCGCGCCTTGCGCGGCAAACGGCTCGTCTTGCCACCCGCGCTAGGACCTTTTGAATCGGCGCCAATCGCCTTTGGTATGCGTCTCGGTGGCAGGTAAAGTGCCTTGTTAGCCTAAGAAAGGCATAGAAACATACGGCAAACAAACGCGTAACGTACTTTACCATCGAAAGCCCCGCACCATCGAACAGCCCACGATTTCTTGGCAAGGAAAATCAACAAGAATCTACGAGGTTTTCTTAAATAACTAAGCGAAACCTTAATATTTTTCTATAAAAATATAAATATATATAGAACTATATTATATACACCTACTATTAAAATTACACTAAGATATATTACGTAATTAAAAAGCTGTATGTATTTAACTAATTTTTAGAAAAAGATTAAGTTTACTTCTAGTAAGTACTATTATATCTTTATAATAATCTATAAAACTTATAGTATATAGTATTTATAACGTAATAAAGATTTCTAGAAAACTTCTATAGTGCTAGCTCTTCTAGGTATAGCGTAATAAGAGGTAGAAGTTAGAAAAAATCTTTCTAGAGTTTTCTTCTCTAACTATAGTTATATATAAATAATCTAGCTATATAAACTTATATATTATAAGATTATATATACTATAAGCCTACTATATATTTAGAAGTAATAATTTTAATATAGTTTTAGTATCTTTCTATTATAAGCTATTCTCTTAACTAAGACTAAGGCTTACTTTTATAAGAGAAGGTAA